AATATATATATAACACAGTACCCACCCCTAAGCTTTGTCAAATCTGAACATTTTATCACATTTTCTCCAGACCCCTCCTCAATCCCAAATCTCTCTTTACCTTTCCAGAGTAACCATTATCCTGATTGGGGTGTTTTGATTGCCACACATATGTACATACTATTTTTGTATATGTATGTATCCATAAATAATATATAGGATTGTTTAATATGTTTTAAAGTGCTTATATTTTAAAGTGGTCTCATACACTACATATCATGCTACAACTTCCTTTTTCCTCAACAATGTTTTTGAGATTTATCCATTGTGACACAGGTAGCTCTAATCCAGTTATTTTAACCTGCTCTAAGGTATTCCATTGAGTATATATATTCTATTGAATGAATATTAAAAATTTTACCAATTTTACTGTTAATGTACATTTAGATTGCTTCCAATTTTTTCAATATTAGAAGAGGTTGCCTCAATGAATATTGTTGTGTCTATCTTTTGGGGCATATGTGTGAGGATTTTTCTAGGTCAGTGGTCTCCAAAGTGGGGCATGTGTATCCAAGGGGTCTATCCTGGGAAGCAGGAAGAAAATATTAAAACTCCCATTTATATTATTTTCAATTTCATCTTTGTTTGGAATAAAATAGATATAGGGAAGCAGCTAGAAGTCCATTTTTTCCTCTGATTTACCCTCATATTCCTTATGCCTGCTTGTTTTTAATCAGCAGATCTTGCCTCTGAAGGGAAGCAAACTTAATTCCAATCACAACCACATGGTGGAGCTGAGACATCAGCTGTACAATTCACAAACCTTGTCCCTGCGGATTGACCTAGGCCAGATGGTGGCAGCTGTAAAAACAAAGGCAGGAAACCAGAAGCTGCGACTAACAGCTAGTACTCAAATCAGGGTAAACATTTCAATCATTCAAACTAAAGGGCCTTTAGGGACCAACAGTGACAACTAGATGAGACCAATTTATAATTATATGAGACCATAATTTCAATTGCCTAAGAATGAAACAACCTAAAGGTGCTTCAAACAGCCTGTTCACTGGTACAGAACCCACCCTTGTATTATTTCTCTATTTGCAAAAATTAGTTCTGAGATTAGTTCAACTATAAATTTGATAACAGTTCTGTTAGTGTATTTATATTATTATTATTCCACTATCTCATGGCTCAGATTATCATGTGCTTTTCTGTAGTCTGTATGTGTATATATATATATTTTTTTTTTTTCGTGAGGAAGATTAGCCCTGAGCTAACATCTGTTGCCAATCCTCCTCTTTTTGCTGAAGAAGATTGGCCTTGAGCTGACACCTGTGCCCATCTTCCTCTGTTTTATGTGGGCCGCCTGCCACAGCATGGCTTGATAAGAGGTGCATATGTCCGCACCAGGGATCCAAACCTGTGAACCCCGGGCCACTGAAGCAAAGCGTGCAAACTTAACCACTACGCCACCAGGATGGTCCCTGTATTTTTTTTTTTAAGTAGAGAAATTTTCCTATTCTCTAAGATTTTTCTCAAGGGTAAATATTTTATATGCAGTTTTATTTTTAATCTGTACTGTTCTTCAAGAAATTTTTCTGTATAGTTACTAAAGTGAATATCTTTTGTTTTGGTCTCCCCAGTATCCACCCCCCTTTTTCAGGTTTCCCTGACTTTCCTTTCAAGAGCC